TCAGCATCTACACAGACCTGAGCATATGCTTGGGACAGTCCTAACAATCTTGAGATATTTTATTTGGGTTTATCAATGAATTTTTAATTACTGAGATCTCACAATAATTCCCTCACTCACAAGTCTGTCTGATTCCTTCTCAACCTCCACTTTCAATGCATAAGGAACAGGTCTGGACTTAGCATATACGGGTGTAACATCTTTATCAATGGTGATATGAGTTTCATAACCCTGTATACTATCCTGTCCCTTGACAAATAAAATCTTGTATTTGTCAAGCAATTTCTCAAGACCTGGAACACTGTTACACATTCTAACACTAAATATCTCCTTCCAGTCCATCTCAAGCTCATACAACCAGTTCTTACCTAACAAAGTTGGTCTATTCACATAATTAGCTACAATGAATGGCAACTTCAAATTCTGATTTTTGTACTTTACCTCACACTCTAATTTACCTTCTGTGTTCAAAGTCTCTCCAGTATAGGTTCTCAACTTGACACCTGAGTCTTCTAAAGGCACATGTGCAAATAGCTTCTCATACATATCTCTACTCATTATGGAGAAATCAGCTGCAGTATCCACTTCCATAGTTTCAGGTGTGTCATTAATGCACAAGTCCACATTATACCTATGTTTAACTTTCTCTTCATGACTGGCGTAAATAGTAAACACATGGACACTCTCATCATTATCAGGTTAAGAATTACTAACACTCATGAATACTGTTTTTCATTTCCTTCTCATCACCTTCAGCGACATACTGTATACTTTACCTTTACCACTTCTGGCAGGGGCTGTAATTTCTTTCTCACAGGCAGGAGCAATATGTCCAATATGCTGACAATTGTAACATCTTGAATTTTTTAACTTACACTGAAAGCTTTCATGTTTCCCTAGGCACCTCTTACATTTTAAATCAGCATGTGTTCTTTGTTTTGTGGCATAATTCTTCCTTTTAGCTACAGTTACTTTACACACTGAGCCACTACTGCCAGCTGTTTCACTACCGGTATTGGGAACAAATTCTCTGGTATTTTTCTCTGCTAATTCCATACTTGTAGCTATCTGACATGCTTTTTCAAAAGTTAGGTTAGTGGTGTTCATTAACTTATTCTGTATTTTTTCATAATTCAGACTTATCACAAACCTGTCTTTTAGAGATCGGTTCAAGAACTGTCCAAATTTACAGTGAATGGATTACTTCTTCAAAGCAACGATATAATTACTTACTGATTCATCTTTCCCTCTATCTCTTGTGTCAAATTTGTAAATTTCAGCAATCTCAAGTGGAGCAGGATCAAAATGTTGCTTCAGAATCTTGGTAATCTAAATGAGTGAGGAGTCTTTGGGTTTGTCTGGAGCAAGCAGATTGACCAGAGTAGAATAAGCATTAGCTCCTACCTCTGTCAAAAAGATTGCTTTCCTTTTCTCTTCAAGGGCCTTCTCCTTCTGAGCATCACCACCA